CCTTGCTGGCTCCCAATTCCACAACAAAACCTGTAAAAAAAATATTTCAAACAATTACAACATTACACTTATAACAGAGATTTTATGTGAAATACATATAGAGGAATACACAGTCAGAATCCACAAGATTGTTCCAGTAAGTGAGTTGGATCAATGATGGCTTATACATTTTGCCAGTAGATTGACAAAGCTATTTTTGGCATCCACTTCTCTGAATCAAATCTGTTGTGACACCAGCCTCAAGATTTTTGTCATTTAAAGTCAACTTTCTTCAATTTGGCAAGCTTCTTTTACTCATCACACTTTAAACCAAACATTTTTCATTTCATACCACTTATTATTGGAACATGGTGGTTGTCAAATATCTAATACATAATCATAGAGAAGATTTTGAAAATCAATTGAAATATTTTGCAGTACTTTGACTTCCTGTACAATCTTCAAAGAACAAATTGACTTGGTCTGAGCAAAAATGCAGATGGGGTTCACAGAGAAGGATGATATATTAATTTAATATGAAAAAAATGGTGTCAACAATTTAATGAGAATCCACCAAGGGTAAACAAAACAACACCCCTTGAATCAATACATGGATTTTGTATAAAACTATGTACCATGAGTGATGGGCAGAACATCAAGCCTCTCTCCAATGTCCACCACAATCCCAGAATTGGCATTGTACACATGAAAGGCAGCCAAAGACTGAGGCACAACATATGCAGTCTTNAATTTTCAACTGAAAAACCCTTGTGCGTGCCTTACTTGAGGGCGCGTGGTACTTGAGTAAATACGGTAGTTCACCCATGACAAATGAGCAACAGAAAAATGTATTATGGATACTGAGGCATTTTGCTACAAGTGACCACCCATAACCAAACCAGCCATATATTATGGGTGTACAGGTGGTAGTTTGGTGGTACTGTACCTTGTAATTCAACCATCCCACAATTTACTGGGATGTTCACTTGTAATCCAACATCCTTCAGCTACTTTTTGAGTGTTTCTGTTAATTATTCTTAATTTTACACAGTGTCTTACAATCCAACCACTTTGCAATTTTTCTGTAGTCTGACAATGGATTAGGATCAAATTGTGCAGTACCACCTGTAATATGGGTGCTATATCATGCCTCCTTGATTTTTTCAAGGTTAGCCTGCATGCTCAACAAGCACCTGTAACAGGAAATTCACCCATACCAGGCCAACCATTCACTATGGGTGCTTGCATGCCTGCTTGTTGAACCTGGCATGTTGTGGACTATTTATTTCCTGGGAGGATTAAATATCCATACAGCATATGGAAAAATGGGTTCATACCCTTTGAGATGGTTTGTGGGTGACTCTCAAGGGATGGACCAACTGGGAATGAGCTCTGTCATCAGAGCAGAAGGCCTCAAAACCAAAGACTCTCTTGGATGAGTTCTTTCTGTCCACCAAAGCAGAACTTGGCAGGAAGACTTGGGGGAATGTTGCTGTAAATAAAGCAAAATACTATCAATCAAATACCCTTTTTTTCAGAGACTACAATTCAATAACTGACGGGTCTTGGAAAGAATTCCTGCTCTCAAGGACCTGCTTCCAATGTCCAGGACCACAACCTTCTTGAACATTGAAGGCTCAACAGGCAGAGGGCTTGGTTGGACATAAGTGGCTGCAAAGTTCTCTTGCACATGAGTCATCAGGGCTTTTTGCCAAGTCAGCAAATCATTTTTGGTGGCACACTTGACCACTAGGTAGTGTCCCTTCTGTGATGATGGAATACAGCATTTCAGATTTGAAACAAAAAATCAATGAATGTCAAATACAAATTCAAATGAGTTCAAAGATCCACTCACTCCATCATCAATTCCAAGAACATTGGGGAACATTTGCTTCTGCTGTCAAAATGAAAATTGTGTGAAGTTTGATTACTGGACTTTATGAGGAAAAGTCTGTGGACTCACTTGGAGGACAGTCTCATCAGCACTCCCAGACATCATGTTTTCTATTGTGTCAACACTGCCTCCCATCAACTGCATGGTTTGACTGGGTTTCTCTGAATTCTGACTCTGTCAAAAGACATGGGAAAATTTCAGTGAATGTTCAAAATAAAATTTCAGGCTCACCCAAAACATATGGATCACTTTTCAACATCAACAATGCAAAATGAAAGCTAGGCATACACAGACTCAATTGGAGTCACTGTGGAATTATTTTTTATGATTTATATTGCATTCATGAAGGTTATTAAAAATTATTTAATTTTGCGTGAAGTGGCAAAGTGGGAAGAAAATTGCATTCAAGCATCAAAACCTCAAAAACTAAAGTCTGCTGTAAAACTGCATTTGGTTTCAGAAATTCTTAATTTCCAGTCATGCAAGTATATTGATTTTATGTTGGCAGTTTTAAATTCCAATGGCATTTCATGCTTTCAATTTTAATGAATTCTAGTTTCACTGAAAAGGACAGATTGTACTGGATGCAGCTGGAAATTCAGATGGAATTGTATGCATTGAGAAGTTATTGGAACTATAATTAGTCAAATTCTGGAATTAAAATGAACTTTGATTCAAGTCTGAATATGTTTCTTAAAAATAAGTCAGTTTTTATTGAATAATTTCCCTTTATAGAAGGTTTTCAGAAATATTTTTGGAGCACTAATGCATAAATTAATATTCAACAAACCTGATAATATCTCAAATAGCCATTCTCCAGTCTAAAATATCGCCGTTTCCAGGCATTCCAGAAGGTCACTTTCCTTCTGCCAGAAGGAAGTTTCTCAAGGTATCCTTCCATGTTCAAATATCCCTTGTTATCTGCTTTGTTCTTGTCTGGCAAGTTTTCACAGCGCTCAAATACTGGGCGCAGTCTTGACAAGGTTCTTCCAGTCCCTGGAGGATCTGGCTGGTCAATAGTGTACAAATCTTTGGCCAAACGCACCTACACAAGGAGAAAAAAGTATTTTGAACCCATAGTTTGCAAATTGGATTCAATGACATTCAAAGGATAATTTGACAATGAAAGCTGAATTTGAAGCTGTGAAGTTCATCAGAGGTATTTGAAAAGATCAAGGGCTGGTGATTTCCCCAAGTTTGACTTATATTTTTGTATTTCATATTTTGGTCATCAGCACAAAAATTTTCAAGACATGATGTTTCAGAAGAGGTTTTCTCTTGGAGTATTTAAAATTACAAACTGCTGATTATTTTTAGCATCATATAAACAATTACAAATGCTTCAGCTGAATTTTTTTCAACTCAGGGGACTGAACATTTGCACCAAAAAAATTTCTGACAGTGTAGTTCCATGGTTATATTTTATGCTGAAATTAGTTACTTTTCCTGTAGAAATTAGGTATACAGTATTTTCAACAGAAATTAGCTGCATTATAGGCAGAGATCATAATTGCTTACAGGGTCCCAGACAGGAGTGGATTGATTGCTGTTGATGCCACTGTCTTCAGAGTCAGACTTGTGATCAGTATTATCCAAAGACCCATTGCTGCTTCTGGTTGGAGCCTGGTGTCTGTTTTTCTCAGTTTCTGGATGCTTGGACAAGGCTTTCCATGTCAGCAGTTCTGTTCCAGGGGACTTGATCTGTAAAATTGTATTACAAAAAATAATAATAATACCATCATTTGAATTGACTGAAGCAAACTTTTTTTCCACTCACCTTGATTTCATTTTCTTTGTGACCAGCAGTAACTGCAGCAGAGTTGGTAGCAGGATTTTCTTTGTGACTGTCCCCAACTATTCTTGACTTGGCAGCCTCAATTTTCCT